CGACTGATTTTCTTTCAGTTGTTGAGGAATAAAAGGCAAAACAATTCTGAAAAACTGGGTCTACAGTTAGTGCGTAATTAAAGCTTTTGTGGTCTTCCGGCCTAATTAAAAGAAGTTTACTAAAACTGTTTTTAGATAGTTTTGTAGTATTTTTTACGCTCTATCTTTTACTCGTTTTGGTTTTTTTTAAAAAAGATGTTTCTTGTCCCCTCTAGGATCGTTTTAAACTGGGTCTACACTTTGTCTGTAAATCTGTTTTCGTCAAATAGAACCAAAAAAAATCAACATCTTGTTTTGTTCTCTAAAAAATCTCGTTTTCTATCGATGACTAATCGAAAAAAATGGATTTTTGGACTTGCCACTCTTATATCTCATCCGAATGATGAGTTACCGAGCTGAAACTTTTTGCGGTAGTGGGAGATACATTAAGGTGAGAAAAAAAATTTTTTGAGATCGCATTATTGGAACTGGAATTGCAGAAAAAACGGTTAAAAAATGCAATTGTACAATAAAGTTGCATTTCACTCATATATATATTTCCAACTCGTTAGAAAGCCAAATCAAATTTTAATCAGTCAATCAATTAGTGTATTATTTAACAGTAAATCCCCGAATAGAAGACTGTGGCCTTCTATGATGGTTTTGCACGTCGCACGTTTTTTGCTTGCCCCTCTATAGGGCGTTCTTCAAAAAGTTTTTGTTCCAGACTGGCTTTCTATTCTGTGGGGAGCGGGTATAGAACTCAGTCATTTAATGCCTATCTGTGGGAGGCTCAAATAACGAAGGCTCAGGCATCTGGCGGCTTAAATATCGCGGGCTCAAATGTCAAGAGCTCAAGTGTCGGGAAGCTCATCTGTCGGTGTATCGCGTCAAATACCTGCTGACGCAGACACAAACAAAGTGAAGCTCTTTTTTTCTGCAGTCAAAAGACAGATAGCGCTAGAAATCCGTCAGCTTCTGATAACACCAAAAATAGTCTGCGGATAATGAAACTTACAAAATACAGATAATAGATCATGACGAATCGATGAGAAATATTTTCAGATCTCTTGACGGGAAGGGTCACGAAAGGACGTCCGTTTGCGCACATATAAGTTTTTAAGTTCGAATGAGTACAGACGAGTTTTACCTTGACCAGTGAGCTGTATTTAGCATTAACTGACAAAATTATCTTCTAGTATGGATAATCTCGATGATGAGTTATTGAATACAACATATGTCAGAAGCAACTATGGTGTTTTTTCTCATCCGTTATTCAAGAGAATTCTTGATCAAAATGATCTCTTTCGGATCGATACTAATACATATAAAATTTCTCTTAATTTCTTTGAGGTATGTAACATTGTTTTTATAGATTTCTAGCTGAAACTCTGGGCTATCTTCTAGTAAAAAGATAATCTAGTTAAGATTTATCTTGAGTGAAGTGCGGTCAACTGAGTGGGTAACACACAGACACATTTTGAAAGAAAAAAATGTCTAGGTCGAGCGAAGTTTATATCTATCAAAGTATTTACTCATTAAAAACAGTTAATTATAGGTAACCGCTTACGATGTCGGGTTCGTTAGCACCAGAATCTTTCAGTCAAGGGTTAGTGAATCGAAGATGAGCGTTACTTGTTTATAGTATCTTTAAGAATCTTTTTATAGAATGTTTTAATGTTCTTCTAGTGATACTTTTATTAAATTTTGTCCTTGTTTGACGCATATAGTCGAATATGTAGTAATACGAATAGTAAAAAATATAAATTTCAATTTTTCTTCTCATACAGGTTATATGCAAACAAGTGGTGAATGGCCGTTCACTATTCACTTCTTTACTGAAGCACAGTTGGATCGATTTGCCAAGTATTGTAAAACCGAAAAGTATTCGACCTTATACATCGATGCTACTGGTTCGGTTGTTCAGCGGAGTCGACTAGAAATACTTTATTGTCGCTCTTACTTACTTCTGGGAATTTTCACTACATGTGATGAATGTGTAGTAGATATGTAGTGAGGTGCAGTGAACGTGTAGTGGTGTGTAGTGAAAAATCCCTTGTAGTGTAGTGTTGCTTTTTCTCCTTTGGTTCTGACATATTTTTCAAGAGCAATAGAGACCTCAAATCTAACAGTCCACTTTACTCTACAAAAAGTTAGACTCAAAATCCACTAATTTTACATTCGGAAACAGCAAAAAAGTTTTCTCTTGTTCCATCTATTAAATTAATTTATTTTCTCCTGTACGAACTTACATTGTTCAAACCAATGTCTTTTTGACATTGTAGTTGTGTAACAATTAATTTCGTACACTATTTCTTATATTGAGTCATTAACAAAAATATTTAAATTATTATTATTATGCACATAGAAACTAACAATCTACACAGATTGAAGATGCTCATCAGTACTTTCTTTCTTTACCTTCTGTTTTATAGTTAAGGAAACAGAATTCTTTTTTTCTATGGTTCTCAAGGTGACAAGCAAATGCATGTACATCGGAAAAGAAAAAAGAGACCAACCTGCGTATACATCATTATTTTAAATTTAAAAGAAAGAAAAGAAGAGAAAAAATTTTAAAAAAAAGAAAGAGAAAAAAAACCACTGCAGCTGTGTGCAAGAATCTTTTTGTTTATTATAAATTTTTAAAGAATAATAACATGTTTATATTAGTTACGAAATGATTAACATCTTATGATTGATACATTCCTGTAATTGAGAAGAGTTACTATATTATATAAATTTCAACGTGGTATCGGAAAATATGACGAGAAATGTATGTTAATCCATAACTTCTTTTATGATCTCTCTGTTCTGTCCTGTGTAAAATTGAGAGAGCTGTAAAAATAATTTACTTCGGACCGAGACTTTTTAAGAACAGACAATCATAACTGTTGACTGAAAATCAGAAAGACATGGTTCGCGGTGTTTCAAAAGTGAAAGATAGAGTCATAAGTCTTGGAAAACAATTTAGTTCTATAAGAAATATTTTGGAAGCAAGAATAGACGGAATCTGAAAAATCCTTTGAATCCAAACCCGAAAATCCTTGCAAAATCTTTGAGATAAAGTCCAACTTATTGAAAATTTTCTGGAATCCGACTCCCTATTTGGAAGGATTAGATCGAAAAATGATTTAAGGTTTCGCATAGTGATCTATATCAATTCAGCTGTAAGAAGCCTGTATCAGTGAGGTTGAGGATTGGGTAAACAAATGTAGACAAAACTGGTAGAATTAAAGTAAATTTCTAAGATGTCTTTAAGCATAATCATCATACAATCAATGAAGAACGATTTCAAGAACATGATATAGAAGCGCGAATATGTACAAGTTTTGTACCTGCAAAGTAAGTGTCAGCCCTGAACAGCGCATACTTCTGCGTCTATGGGTTGATGTTTTTCTAACTCGTTAATATTTTTAATACAACCATATTTTGGTAAACCAATAGCAATAATTTTATCATCCACTCTTGCCAAACGACTTTTATTAATTGCTTGTCCAACGAATTGCGTAATGCCCACATTAAATCCGTTTGTTAGTAACCAAGCCTCTAAATATAATATCAACAAATAAGTACAGACAGAAATCATAAATGCATGATATGAATTTATTACGTGATTTTAGTGCAACAGTTATAATTCCATTAATAAATTTTGTTTCCAGTCTTTCAGTTAATTTAAAATATTTAGCACCACCAATTATTGACATAATTAGCCGGGGTTCTGTTATCCCCCACACATCAAATAAGATTTTTTCTAAATTTTTTGGATCGGTATGTAAATCACATCGTAAATACTAAATATAAAAAAAAAAGTTAAATATTTTTGAGAAAAAAACGGAAAGAGGAAAGTTTACCCAAGCACCATTAGCAAATTTTCCATGTTCTTTACTTGCAAATGGTGTTGTATGTACGTTAATATCCCATTTTTTTTGCAGAGTATTGCCAGGAGGATGATCTCTTTTTGAACGATTGCAATAACACAGAGAAGTACCATCAACAGGCTTATCTGGTCTAAAGAAAAGATAAGTAAAATATTTTTTAAAGAGTATGTCAGTCTATTCTGTTCAACACTTACTTTGCAGGTACAAAACTTGTACATATTCGCGCTTCTATATCATGTTCTTGAAATCGTTCTTCATTGATTGTATGATGATTATG